ATTCACAACTCTGACCGTCGCCTGATGATGCTGGTTGTAATTACCGGCGAAACGTCGTACTCGAATGGGAAATATTGTCGTTTTACTGTCCAATATACCCGTGTGCTGTACGAATAACGAATTGGCACGTTTTGTTCACGTGAAAAACCTTACTAATTAGCTGTGTCGGATGGTGGCGGGTTTAACGACACATGTATATTTACGCAATCTAACCCACGTCTTTGGAGTCTTTGCCTTCTTTCTACTGGCCTTATCATCACACTCAACTTAGAATTTTGACTTTGACCTCCAAATCTATCATCATGCCCTATCAAATATAACCCCACGCTCGCGTTTTTTTTTTAAATCCCGTCACAAACGCGTTTAACTTAAAATTAAAAACAAGCGTCCTTAACCCAAACAACTTGCAGTTAAAGGGACCGTAAATGCCCTCTGCTCCCTTGCAATTTCGTCTTTTTGTTCGTTTGTTTTTCTTGAGGGGTTAAATGCTCAATGCATGGCTCGTAACGCCAGAGCCCGAACGGCGCAAATTGCTCGTAATTGCACGCACTTCCCCGGGCCACGTTCCCCAAGAGTTCTCTGCGAGCACGCGTTACTCACTTATTCCTCGCATCTCCTCGCAAGCCAAAACAAAATGGGAAAATTCCGCTCGTTACGTCTCCACGGTGACTTTCCTCAACCTTATTCTTGGGTTTTTTCGGTAAAGTCACGTAGGTAAAAAATGTAAATGAATACAAGTAAAATAAAAATAAAATTAATTTTTATTTTTTACCTACGTGACTTTACCGAAAAAAACCCAAGAATATGAATCCTTGCAGTCACGAAAGCTTCAAATCTATAATTTCCTCACCTTCCCTCTCGCGGCAGCGCTCCCGCTGCTGCTTAAAAGCCCAAATTTGCAACCTTTCACCCGCACCACCGCCCGTGTCCCAGGTGTGCGTGCGAGTGTGGGGGGTGAGGGTTGTGTGTCGTGGAGCGGCGGCAACAGACTACGGAGGGTTCACGCGCCAACCGTTGACCCGGGAAAGCGTCGCCGAATTCTCGTGCCTCGTTTTTCAGGAGGGTCCTGCCAAGTTATTTTTCGGTTTGTTTTCCGGTAGAGGGAGATTATTTTTTTCGGTGTGTGATTTTACGTGTGGCATGTTGACCGTCTTTCGCACCGTACGTAGCCTACCGTGCTAATCGGAGTTGCGAAGGAAGGACAATAAACTAAACACATACAGCAGTTCTCAAGACATGAGTTTTAAATCAAGCTCAAAAATTGCATGGCTCCAGTGGCTTCCTAATATCGGAAGGAAGAGCGTTCCAGACGGGCGCAGAAGCGCATCTGAAAGCGCGCGATGCGGAGACCGCCGCCTTTGTTCGATGGCTCGCCAAAAGCCGGTGCTGCGAGGATGACCGAGTTCGCGTGATGGTCTGTGCTCCTTGATGAAATCACCAAAACATTGTGGTTCATTTTTGGCAAGCACTTTGTGTGCAATGAGTGCGACCTTGTAGTTTATTGATATTCATGATTAATTTACAGGCTTAATTTGGCAGATTTGGACCATGATCTCTGCACAGAATGGCCTACTCTTACGAATGACATGACGGGATCTTTAATGTTAAATGTGCAGCAGATGGCGTGTAGTATTTCTTTGGTTGATACGACAGGATGGTAATAACCAGGGCGGCCGCTGGTTTCGAACCGTGAACCTCTGCAACAACAAGCGGCTACCGCTGTGCCATGTCATGTACCCGGTGACCTGAGTTTGATTAGAGGTCATGGCTAACATCAGTAGCGGCCATGACTAACATCAGTGGCAAGTTGTGTGAGTTTTAAATGAGTGCCAGGCACTGTGTGTACACATTGCGTTGTGTACCAACTTTCATCTGAACATTGAGCCTAGATAAATACAATTTCTGATTAACCGAAAATTTTAATATTATCGAAGTGATATAAAAATATATCACAAAAAGTGACGTCGCTTCAATGGCGACTTGCCTGCTCTTTTCCCGCCAAAAGTGGCATCACGTGGTATCAGGTGACGTCACCTTTGTTATCACAACGACACGCTGAACTACCGCAGTGTTCATGAAACGTCTGGAAAAGATTCGAAATTGTCCTCGAAATACAAAATCCAAGGCTTATCCCGAGTAAAACATCAGCTCTTCGGAGACAAAAGTGACCTGGAGTGGTCCTGGGGCTACACGAGACCCTGTACTGTTCGTCTGTTGGCCTCCTTTGGTCTGATACTGGTGAGACTAGGCCCTAAAGAACAAGGTTGTCTGGTGTAGGCCAATCAATTTCAAAGACAATGGGTATATTAATTATCAGAGCATGTTTATTTGAACGTTTTGCCACAAGCAGGTGTGGCTAATACAGACTCGATGCCTTCAACGAGATGTATATTCGGTCTTCTTGGTTCTTTCGGTAAAGTCATGTAGAAGGGAAGTAATTAAATAATAAAAATAAAACATATGTTTTATAATTTTTACATGTTTTATTTTAATAATTTTATTACTTCCCTTCTACGTGACTTTACCGAAAGAACCAAGAAGATGAATCCCTGCAGTCACGAAAGCTTTAAATCGAAATGTATATTCGGTGTTTGAATATCTTAACATCTGTTTTATTTCCAGAAAGGGTAAAGCCTATGTTCTTTGGCCACTCCCTTGCCTGCCATGTCATTCTAAATAGGCGCTCGCAAACAGCACTTGCCCTACCAATCTAGTATTACTATATGGCATCTGTACGTGTGATGATCGATTAGATTGAGGAGCAATGATGAAATTGGTCGAGAGCTCTTCACTGTGATTTTATCAACCATAGTTGTGTGCAATGCCATGCGCAGCAATACTCACGTTTGGCATATAAACCTGGCATTGGTCAACGTTTGTTTGACAAGAACCCACGTCATCACAATGGACCAAGATGCATATTCAGTTAACATTGAGGATGCCGTTTCTTCGATTATATTTTGGCAAACCCTTTGATACATTTACCCGTCTGTCGATCGGATAAGTCCTAATTAGCAACATAACTTCACGTTCACATTCTTGGTTCTTTCGGTAAAGTCACGTAGAAGGGAAATAATAAAATAATAATAATAAATGACAATAAAATTCTCACGACGTTTCGATTGCAACACAAGCAATCATCATCAGGTGTGAAAACCACTTAATCGAAAGAACCAAGAATATGAATCCGTGATGTCACGAAAGCTTTATTTCGAAATTTCACGTTCACATTTAATGTATAATTAGTTCGTGTTTACGAGAGTAACCGTGACGTCCCACCTCCTTTACAGACAGACATACGCACAGAGCTAATCCATTATCGCTTCCAACCATCCCTTTGGGCTTTGTGTCCTCACCTGGAGTACTAGCCCTGAAGTTCAATCTGTACACACGTCCAGACATAACCCCAACTCCCACTCTATGTCGTTTGGCCTCTCTACGTGCTGTGAAGAAGGGCCACTGTCTGAAAGAAGATCCGCAGTGTTGTTGACGACTGTGTTGAGGTTTTTTGTTATGTGTGCTCACGCATACATACATACATCTTCTTGGTTCTTTCGGTAAAGTCACGTAGAAGGGAAATAATAAAATAATACAAATAAAACATAATAAAATACATAATAAAATACAATTCTCACTAGAGAATTGTATTTTATTATATTCTTAGGTGTTTTCGGTATTCCTGTATTTTATTATACAATTCTCACTAGAGAATTGTATTTTATTATGTTTTATTTTAATTATTTTATTATTTCCCTTCTACGTGACTTTACCAAAAGAACCAAGAAGATGAATCCCTGCAGTCACGAAAGCTTTAAATCTAAACATACATACATGTGTACATACATCTGTACATACATGTGTACATACATGTGTACATACATGTGTACATACATCTGTGTGTGTGTCTATGGAGCAGCTGCACAGTTGTTTGCGCGTTGCACTATAATCCTGGTGACCTGGGATTGATTCCTGGTCATGAATAACATCGGTGGCAAATGGTATTAACCGTGTTTAGGCCTTTTCCTAGGTCGACTCGGCTTTAAATGAGTACCATGGTGCATTGTGTGAACACAATCTGCTGTAATATAATTTTTCATTCCAGAGGTATCTGGGGCAGAAAACTATGCACCTTCAGTGATGTGGAGGGTGGTTTTCCGTCCGTTCTGGGTATATGCATTTGTGAGTCGGTGTGTCTCAGTGTGAATCTGTGTGTCTCAGTGTAAGTATGTGTGTCTCAATGTGAGCCTGTCTGTCTCAGTGTGAGTATGTGTGTCTCAGTATGAGTCTGTCTGTCTCAGTGTGAGTTTATGGGTCTCAGTGTGAGTCTATGGGTCTCAGTGTAAGGCTGTGGGTCCTAGTGTGAATCTATGGGTCTCGTTGTGAGTATATAGGTCTCAGTATGAGTCTATGGGTAGCAGTGTGAGTCTATGGGTCTCAGTGTGAGTCGATAGGTCTCAGTATGAGTCTATGGCTAGCAGTGTGAATCTATGGGTAGCAGTGTGAATCTATGGGTCTCAATGCGAGTCTATGGGTCTCAGTGTGAGTCTGTGGGTCTGGCTGATGTGGAGGAGGATGCGTCACATGCTGGGTGGCTGCTCTTTTCCATGCTGGACTCCACCAAGAGGTCTTAACAATCTGAACACCGCTGTCTCGACTGCTCGAATGAAATCTTCTCTCGCAAAACGCAGATTTTTCAGAGGCCACCGAATGGCCCGTGACAATTTGCCCGCATCTTAGCATCGTGAACCCGATCTTCGCTTGTCTCGTCTTCATGTGAACCGCGTTATACACACACACACACGGCGCTGGCGAGACAATGGTTGAAGGTCGGCTCAGAACACGAAGTGCGCCATTCTGGCTAATCAACGCCTTGTGTCACGAGCCGGCCTTCGGTAGGTGCTCGCTAAAAGCACTTTCGGCGGCAGTCAAAGATGTTAAATGTGGTGGGGGTGGTGTGGGGGTGGTGGTATCGTTTGTAATTTTTTTGTTCGCCGGTGCAGATATCGACGAGTGCTCACCGAACCCGTGCCAGAACGGAGGCCGCTGCATCGATGGCTCAGCGTCGTACACTTGCGACTGCGCGCAGGGGTTCACAGGCACGCGCTGCGAGACTGGTGAGCCCACAGTCAGCGCTCACCTCGCATCGTTCTCCCCCCCCCCCTCCTCATCCCCCTCCTCCTCTTGCATCGCCACTGGGAAGACAAAGGCGGTTGAGTGTGGTCCTGGCCACCAACCCCCTCGTGTACCGTGCCAGCCTTCATAGGTGCTCGCTAACAGCACTTGCCCCAACAGTCTGTGAATGCTTAACGGAGGATATTTGTTTTTTGTGCTGAGGTGTGGCACAGGTGTTAAGCACACTGTGTAAAGTCCTAACAACCGGAAGTTAAATTCCTCGGCAAGGATACCGTTTGGCCTAGTTGACCCAGACGACGCTCTTCTGGACCTTCCCTAGGTCAACGCAGCCCGAACTCAGCCTCTGGTGCAGAGTGCGAACATTCACGTGTCAATATCATTATCGGAACACAAACGGGAGGGGGGAGGTGATGTTGGGCATGTGGTGTTACACAACGCCACCCATTGTGTCGCACGCCACGCTTAATAGGTGCTCGCTAACGTCACGTGATCCTACGTCATACGATGGGGCCTTAACGAGGATCTCCGCCACGTGTCCGTGCACGTGCTTTATTCCCGCGGATGCAGATATTGACGAATGCATCTCGGATCCGTGCCAGAACGGAGGCCAGTGTGTGAACGGGGCGGGCTCGTTCACGTGCAACTGCCTGGCAGGATACACGGGGACGCTCTGCGACTCAGGTAAACCACAGCGAGACTTCGTTATTGACATTGGGGTCCCGACATTGCCGGATTATCCTAGTAGAAAAAGTAGCTACGTATGCTACGGGCCCCGCACTTTCAAGGGCCCCACGCTAAATGCTTTCAAGCTATCAATTCTGGTTCAGTGATTCTGCACTTGCTCTATTACTATAGTACTATACTGCCTTCAACTTTTAAGAACGACTGGGTGTTTATGGTTAGCGATTTGTCGTATTATCCGGCTGTATAGCAAATGAAAAAATTAAATAACTTTACTATGCAATTTAACATTTACGTGTTTTAATATTTACGTGTTTTTTTATTTAGGGGCCGTCCATAAATGACGTCACGCACCTGGGGGGGTTCAGACATTTGTGACGATGTGTGACGAGGGGGGTGGGGGTGAGAAATGTGACGTCACATCAAAATGCGCAACTTTAAATAAATATAGACAACACGTTCTACTGAATTAAATATACTTTTTAATAAATGTTTTCTCCTACAACACCAGAGTGCAGCGCCACATTAAATACGCACTACAATGACAATAGTTTAAAGCGATTTGAAGCATGCTTTATTTTCAAAATAGAATTATTATTTTTATTTGGGGGGGGGGCAGAGCTTTGTGACGTCATATTTGAGGGGGGGGTCTGACTTTTTGTGACGCAGTGTGACGAGGGGGGGGGGGGGTCAAAAATCGTCCAAAATCACGTGACATCATTTATGGACGGCCCCTAACTACCAGCGAAAGTTCGTACCAAAGTATGAAATGTTGTGTGGATTGCTCTCAAAAGCAATGAAAATTGTCCACACGATGCCCTTGATATATCTGGCTTCGTTGGGTGGAGGTGGGTATACCACATAGCTTGCCATTTTAATCACGTGACAAACCCATCCACAAATCTATTATGAATCCCAGTAGCATCCGTTTTGAAAGCAAAGTTAACCAGGGGTGGTGGTGTTCTCTCTACTGTCTGTTTACATGCTTCTCTACGTCGTGTCACTCATGAAGTATAGTCAAGTAACCACTTTGTATGCCAAGAAAGCACATCATGTGCTCACTTACAGCACTTGAACCCAACGTAATAACCAGTCTAACAAGGGTGACTTCTGTGTGAGTGTGAGTGTGTTCTGATGTGTGCTTAGCAGTGAGCGCAATGCGCTACAAACGTGGTGACCTGAGTTTGATTCCCGCTCACGGCCTACATCAATGCCGATTATCTGAACCGGTCCCGGGCCCTCCCCTAGGCCGACTCAGCCTCAAATGAGTACCTGGTGCGGTGTTTAAATGCATCGCCACTGGAGAGACAAAGGCGGTTGGGTGTGGTCCTGGCCACCAACCGCCTCGTGTACCGTGCCAGCCATCATAGGTGCTCGCTAACAGCACTTGCCCCAACAGTCTGTGAATGCTCAACGGAGGATATTTGTCTTTTGTGCTGAGGTGTGGCACAGGTGTTAAGCACACTGCGTAAAGTCCTAACAACCGGAAGTTAAATTCATCGGCAATGATACCGTTTGGCCCAGTTGACCCAGACGAGGCTCTTTGTGGACCTTCCCTAGGTCAACGCAGCCCGAACTCAGCCTCTGGTGCAGAATGCGAACATTCATGTGTCAATATCATTATCGGAACACAAACGGGAGGGGGGAGGTGATGTTGGGCATGTGGTGTTACGCAACGCCACCCATTGTGTCGCACGCCACGCTTAATAGGTGCTCGCTAACGTCACGTGATCCTACGTCATACCACGGGGCCTTAACGAGGATCTCCGCCACGTGTCCGTGCACGTGCTTTATTCCCGCGGATGCAGATATTGACGAATGCTCTTCGGGTCCGTGCCAGAACGGAGGCCAGTGTGTGAACGGGGCGGACTCGTTCACGTGCAACTGCCTGGCAGGATACACGGGGACTCTCTGCGACTTAGGTGAGCCACAGCGAGACTTCGTAATTGACATTGGGGTCCCGACAGTGCCGCAAATGTAGCTACAGTGAGGGAAAAAAGTATTTTATCCCCTGCTAATTTTGTACGTTTGCCCACTGACAAAGAAATGATCGGTCTATAATTTTAATAGTAGGTCTATTTGAACAGTGAGAGACAGAATACCAACAACAAAATCCAGAAAAACGCATATCAAAAATGTTATTAATTGATTTGCATTTTAATGAGGGAATAAGTATTTGACCCCCTCTCAATCAGAAAGATGTCTGGCTCCCAGGTGTCTTTAATACAGGTAACGAGCTGAGATTAGGAGCACACTCTTAAAGGGAGTGCTCCTAATCTCAGCTTGTCACCTGTATAAAAGACACCTGTTCACAGAAGCAATCAATCAATTAGATTCCAAACTATCCACCATGGCCAAGACCAAAGAGCTCTCCAAGGATGTCAGGGACAAGATTGTAGACCTACACAAGGCTGGAATGGACTATAAGACCATCGCCAAGCAGCTTGGTGAGAAGGTGACAACAGTTGGTGCGATTATTCGCAAATGGAAGAAACACAAAAGATCTGTCAATCTCCCTCGGCCTGGGGCTCCATGCAAGATCTCACCTCGTGGAGTTTCAATGATCATGAGAACGGTGAGGAATCAGCCCAGAACTACATGGGAGGATCTTGTCAATGATCTCAAGGCAGCTGGGACCATAGTCACCAAGAAAACAGTTGGTAACACACTACGCCGTGAAGGACTGAAATCCTGCAGTGCCCGCAAGGTCCCTCTGCTTAAGAAATTACATATACATGCCCGTCTGAAGTTTGCCAATGAACATCTGAATGATTCAGAGGACAACTGTGTGAAAGTATTGTGGTCAGATGAGACCAAAATGGAGCTCTTTGGCATCAACTCAACTCGCTGTGTTTGGAGGAGGAGAAATTCTGCCTATGACCGCAAGACAACCATCCCCACCGTCAAACATGGAGGTGGAAACATTATGCTTTGGGGGTGTTTTTCTGCCAAGGGAACAGGACAACTTCACCGCATCAAAGGGACGATGGATGGGGCCATGTACCGTCAAATCTTGAGTGAGAACCTCCTTCCCTCAGCCAGGGCATTGAAAATGGGTCGTGGATGGGTATTCCAGCATGACAATGATCCAAAACACACGGCCAAGGCATCAAAGGAGTGGCTCAAGAAGAAGAACATTAAGGTCCTAGAGTGGCCTAGCCAGTCTCCAGACCTTAATCCCATAGGAAATCTGTGGAGGGAGCTGAAGGTTTGAGTTGCCAAACGTCAGCCTCGAAACATTAATGACTTGGAGAAGATCTGCAAAGAGGAGTGGGACAAAATCCCTCCTGAGATGTGGGCAAACCTGGTGGCCAACTACAAGAAACGTCTGACCTCTGTGATTGCCAAAAAGGGTTTTGCCACTAAGTACTAAGTCATGTTTTGCAGAGGGGTCAAATACTTATTTCCCTCATTAAAATGCAAATCAATTTATAACATTTTTGACATGCGTTTTTCTGGATTTTGTTGTTGTTATTCTGTTTCTCACTGTTCAAATAAACCTACCATTAAAATTATAGACTGATCATTTCTTTGTCAGTGGGCAAACGTACAAAATCAGCAGCGGATCAAATACTTGTTTCCCTCACTGTGCATCTGTAGTAGCTATGGGCCACGCACTTTCAAGGGCCCCACGCTAAATGCTTTCAAGCTATCAATTCCGGTTCAGTGATTCTGCACTTGCTCTATTACTATAGTACTATACTGCCTCTTTTTGGTTCTTTCGGTAAAGTCACGTAGAAGGGAAATAATAAAATAATAAAAATAAAACATATCAAATAATTCTCACGACGTTTCGGCCACAACGCAAGCAGCCGTCCTCAGGTGAAGACCAGGTCTGTCGGGGAGACAGCGTCTGAATGGATGGCAATCGAACTAGGTTCGCCGGGTTTATAGTACAAAGGGTTTTACATACCCTCTGTGGCAACGCTCCCCTTTTCCCCCAGCATCATCGGGCGAATTGCCCGATGATAATTGCATCCAGCATCATCGGGCAACATTTTAAAATGTTGCGGTTTCACTCTTCAACACAACGGTGGTCTAAAGTAGTGAACTATTTGTCTTTTGTCAACGTGACACTTTTTTGCTGATTGGCCGTGTCGGGTGGTGGAGGGTTACGAGACATTTATAAATAACGCGATCTAACCCAAAAACGTTGATTATGAATGTCATGTTTTATCTGACACTTTGTAAATGGAACAAATAAACAAGCTCAATCGTTACCCCTGACAAGGCGGCGAGCCTAGATGCACCCGTCAGTTCGTTATGAAGGTGCATTACGCCTGGCCTGTTATATGCTTACAAAAAAACACAAATAAGCAGACGACATATCTCCTTTACATGTCCATCTCTACTATGGGAACCTCATTTGCCGGTAAAAATATGATAATTGTTTTTTTTACCCTTCTATCTGGCAACAAAACTGACACCTTTTTTACAAGGAGTCATGGACCAGATGACGCCAAAAGGCAAAAGTGCGCCTTTTGGCGTCATTTGGTCCAACCCATGTGAGACTAGGCTCTAAGGAAAGCTGTCTCGGGTGTGGACCAATCAACTTTAAGGACAGTGCACATTATCAGAGTTATGTCTTTTGTTTGTATTATGACTGCAGGTATTGAGGTCTATGCAAACATGACTCCTTGTAAAAAGGTGTCAGTTTTATTGACAGATAGAAGGGTAAAAAATACCAATTATCATGTCCATCTCTCTACGTAAAAAAAAAGTATTTCTTATACGACCCACAAGCCGCACGGCGTTCTAGGAGTGCATCATTTTCTCAGCATTGATTCAAGACGAACACAACTCTGGAACAGTTTTGACATCATCAGCACAGTCTGTATGTGTAGATGAATTGATAGCAACGACCTGCCCAGACATACAACCCTTTTTTGCCACGGCTGGACGTGGTGCCTGTGTGTTTATTATTGAGTGTGCGTGCAGACATCGATTAGTACGCGTCAAATCCCTGTCAGATTGGAGGCCGGTGCGTGGATTTGCTGGGAGCGTTATCAAGCGAGCACCCACCTGGGTTCACGTTGAGCAATTATTTATCAATCTGAATTATCAAATGTAAAAATAATTATCAAATACAGTCGTGCAACAGGCATATTGAACACAATACTCAACGCGTTTGTCAATAACATTGTGGCCTTAGAAGTAAAACTATATATAATAGTTGACATTTTTGGGCAAGGGCCCTTCTTCATAGCACATGAAGAGAAAGTCCAGAGAGACAATACGAGTTGTACGCTGCACTTCACACCATGGGGCCTTGAAGATAATTGAATGTAAATCGTCTTCTGATGAGAAGTTCTTACTGGTAGGAACCTCCTGGTTACACCAGCCCACAGGGGATTATTGTGTCCGTCCGTCGTGCAGGGAGGGGCTGGGTGGGGAGGGAGGGGCTGGGTGGGGAGGGGAGGGTGGGGAGGGGCTGGGTGGGGAGGGTGGGGAGGGGCTGGGTGGGGAGGGTGGGAAGGGGCTGGGTGGGGAGGGTGGGGAGGGTGGGGGTGGGAGGGGTGCGGCTGGGTGGGGAGGGGTTGTTCACCCCGTGGTGCCCTTATAAAACTCAACGTTTAACCTACTCACGCCGGCTTGTGCCCGCCCTCACAGTCGGCCATATTTGCGGAATACACCACGCCGCCGTTGACCCTGCAGGCCATTGACCGAGCAACCCAACGTTCCTACCAGCTCCCTCCTTAGGAATGTGTTAAATTGGCCTATGAATAGTTACGTTATTAATAGCGGTTGTGTAACAGATACAATCTTCATCAATAAAAAAAGTATGACTAAATAAACTCATTCATATTCCATTTAAAAATAAAAATAAATTGCATGCACATTGCATAGTGGGAAGACTTGTTCTTGTGAGCACAAGGCACAATCCACTTAGCAATGCATTCCTGGGCCCAGTCACCATCTGAATTAAACAGAACGACTCAGCACATTCGTCAATTCCAATAAAAGGATTGTGACTGCCCTACACCCCTGCGGTGGAGAAATATGAAAAATAAAATGTGAGGCACACAAATATTTTAATCCAAGAATCCATCTCTGCATCTTCGAATTAAAACAAACATTTTAAAACTTGTCGGGCTCTCACCTGCAATAATATTAATGTTTTGACTCGCGATATATTTGATCACATTGTTCATGTAAAAATCAATTATTGTATTTCTGGCTCATTTAGGTTTCCCCTTTGTCGGTCACTTGCCATTGTATAGATTCATACCACCGTACATTCTTTACGCAACCAAAATGGGAAACAGAATCGACTGGTGAACCTATTCATGAACACGCTGAATCCCTACTATAGTGGGGTCAATGGTGACGAAAATATTAATCGACGAAGCGTTATTTTTATTTTACTCAACGACGACTGTGGGTGAATGGAAATCACACGAAGCGTGATTGATGACTCTGGACTGCTCATCAGAGACCAAAGCACCTCTGACTATGACGCAGAGGTCGCAAACGGGTTTTGATTCCCTACCCGTACACTACCCGAAATGAGTGACAAACGGTTACTCACCAGTGACTCACGGCCTACCCGTACCCGTACCCGGCCGCACCAGGGTCGCAAACGGCTACCCGTACCCGTACCTGGCCGGGTATGGGTAGCCGGGTATCGGGTAGGGTACGTGTATCAGGTACCCGGTTGCGACCTCTGCTATGACGAGACAGACTCAACTCTTCGAAGATAATTGAGTAAACGCTATTCGAGACTGCAATGCATGAAGGAAGACCAAGCTTGGTAATTGTTCATCTCAAGTCAGTGAACCCCCGGAACGCCTGGGTCATCCAGCGGCGAGCCTTTTGACACTTTGCCGTGACGTCCTCAGGAGCGCACGTTCGGCCTGGCGCAAGCGTCTGCGGTGACTTCGAGGCGTGCGGGTGTTTGTGTTTGTGCGTGCGGCCGCTGCTGCTGCTCTCTGTCGACTTCGCAGACGTGGACGAGTGCGCGTCGAGCCCCTGTCTGAACGGAGCGAGGTGCCGTGACGGAGTGGCGGTGTTCACGTGCGAGTGTGCGCCCGGGTTCACGGGGACGCGCTGCGAGACAGGTGAGCCCTTCACGGCCGTCGTGAGGTTTGCGAGCCGTTAAAAGTAACACAAAGACACGGGCACGCAAAGACACACGCACACAGATCACCCGTATTGCCTGTAACTGACTTTTGGGGCAAGTGCTCTTAGCGAGCACCTATGAAGGCCGGCACGGCACACGAGGGGGTGGGTGGCCAGCAACAAGCCCGACCGCCTTTGTCTCCCTCGCGGCGATGTTTACACATCGCACCAGGTACTTATTTTAGGCTGAGTCGACCTAGGGGAGGCCCAGGACCGGTGCAGATAATCGTCACCGGTGTTGGCCGTGAGCGGGAATCGAACCCGGATTGCCGGGTTCATAGCGCAGCGTAGCGCTAACCGCTACACTACCGCTCCCCACTAACACACACTGACACTAACAAAGACAAAGATCCCCCGTATAGCTTTAACAGACTGTAGGGGCAAGTGCTAATAGCGAGCATCTATAAAGGCTGGCACGGCACACGAGGGGGTGGGTGGCCAACACCACGCCCGGCCGCCTTTGTCTCCCTAGCGGCGATGTTTACACATCACACCAGGTACTCATTTGAGGCTGAGCCGACCTAGGAGAGGCCCAGGACCGGTTCAGATAATCGTCACCGGTGTTTGCGGTGAGCGGGAATCGAACTCGGGTCGCCAGGTTCGTAGTGCAGCACGCTAACTGATACACTACCGCTCCCCACTTACACACACACACACTGACACACACACACTAACACACACACACTGACACACACACACTGACACACACACAATGGCGAGTCCTGTATTGATATTCTGGGCGGTGGAGGAGGAGGGCTATGGGGGGGGGGGGTAATAATTTGTGTGGGATGGTGAAGTGGAGGGAATGGGGGAAGGGAATAAATAGATGCAATCTGAAGTAAATGCCAAGACGAACCGGCACAATTTGTATTATTATTTTACCCGCTAAGGCCCACTGAGCTACGTAGCTCTTCGTCAGCAGTGGCCTGACCACAATTGGCAGCTCAACCAAGTGTCTGATGACCACGTGGAAATTAACAGCAGCCAAAAATACTACCCAACGCGTGTTTCCGAACGTGGAGGGTTAAAAAATTAACCCGTAAAAACAAAGTTTTTAACTATAAATCATTTATATGCGTGGCATCGGTTTTATTTTATTATTCATTTCTGTTTTTCTTGAGTAAGAGTTTCATTTTTATCACATTGGTATTTTTAATTAAATATAAGGAAAGTCGTATATAAGGATTATAAGGTTTTCAGTTTTGTGTGATTGTTTATATTGTACATTTGTGTTGTTTTCTTGAATAATTTTCTGTGTTTAGGAAAAATATATGATTGTGTTAGTGAAATTTTTTTTTTCCTAAAAAGTGGAAAATTTTGGAAAAAAATTTTCAAGAAAATAAATTGTCACGCACAACGAGTCTGTGTGCAAAATGTCAGCTCGATTGGATCACGGGAAGTGGGTTAAAAAACGACCGAAAGATTTGCACGGTCGTAAGCGCGCAAGCAAGTGAACTTAATATAAAGGATTTTAAAAAACGGACGAGCCGGAGAAAACAACAACCGATGTCCACGCGCATGAACCACGCATCCTGGGCATTATAACTGCTTTAAAATCATGCATCGAATTGTTGTCAATTGCGTGCCGGCTTAATAAACTGTTTGTGAGTGCATATTCTTGTAAAACCCCAGACAGGCTGCCACCTGTCTGGGTTCAACTCGGACTGCCCGGGAATTGGTGTCTGTGTTTGGGTGGCCTGGAATTCCTTTGTACGGAGATCTGGTAGCATTGTTTTGAACTTTATTGTGGTAAACCAGGCCGAGTTAGAAATATGGAAATCAATCGGCGTCTTCGTTCAGAGACAAAGGTCACCCCGCAGCCCCGTATCTCCAGTGAGCTGTCTTTGTCCAGGAAGATGCAGTGTGTGACGAATCAATGATTAAAATTCATCATCCTAACGCTCAAGTTGCGAGCACTGAGCCATGCACATGAGAATCACTTAATTTACAATTTAATCAAACTATATGGCAGCATTACTTTTAGCCTAATTAAATTAACTATTCAAAACAAACAACTTTTGCACTTAACGAGACGCCACAAGACGCTGCGTCAAGCGGCGTGGAAAACAACCCGGGACAAAGTCTGTACAACAGCACAACCGAGACTCAAAAACAGAGAGAATTCATGAACTCGCAGGGGAGGTGAATCTGTCAAACCAAGCTGCTCTTGTATTCAAACATGTGCCTGTGTGCTTGGGCGTTGCAGTTATCGCCGTGCCAGTGGCACAGAACGGGACGCACCGGCAGCATCATCTGCCATCGGTCGTCTCAGTCAGTTAACCCCCGTAACGCCTGGGTCAGCCAGCGGCGAGCCTTTTGACACTTTGCCGTGACGGGCCCGGGGAGCGTGCGGTGACTTCGAGGCGTGCGTGTGTGCGTGTGTCTGTCGACGTCGCAGACGTGAACGAGTGTGCGTCGAGCCCCTGTCTGAACGGAGCGAGGTGTCGTGACGGAGTGGCGGAGTTCACGTGCGAGTGTGCGCCCGGGTTCACGGGGACCCGCTGCGAGACAGGTGAGCCCATCCCGACCCTCTTGAGAATTGTCAGCCGTTTAAAACCTCCCCCCGTTGCCATCGAAGCGTACGTATTTACCGCTGAGATTTTTTGTCAAGATTTTGCAAGGGCCTTTCAATATTGTGTGTTCCTGAATGAACAAAAAATCAATTAGCAAATGTCCCCATGTGACTTCTCGATTTTATTGACTGTGGGATGGTGGAGGGTTATAATTATAATTAATAAAATTGACATTATTCTTACTCGTTCTAAACTATTTGTTTTTTCTAATGAATCTGAAAACTGAAACCACACATTACTCTGTAAGTTTTGTAAACAAATTGGTCATTGTTTGTATTTCCTTCCCTATTAAAATAGACGATGTTGTCTTCCCATAAAATGAACGAAGAAGAACCAGCAAATTACGGTCGTAAAATATTGTTTTGGTTAGGATGTAATGTTTTAATAAAAACGTCTTCGCTAGTACAACCGCTCAGAGATTGTGTGACACACGTTTTTTGTTTTAAACCCAAGCACAGAAATGGGCAAAGACAAAGATCCCCCCCTCATAACCTTGACAGACTTTCAGGGCTGTTAGCGAGCAACCTATGTAGGCCGGCACATGCCCAGTCACCTTCATCTCCCCGGCGGCGATGTTTACACACCGCACCAGGTACTAATTTCAGGGGATGCCCAGGACCAGTTCAGATAATTGTCACAGGTGTCGGCTGTGAGCGGGAATCGAACTGGGGTCGCTGGGTCCATCGTGCAGCGTGCTAATCGCTACACCACCGCTCCCCACACGAAGGACACACGCACACACGTGGACACACACACACAGCGGTCACTCACACTCGGGCTTGCGTAAATTCCACGTGTGATCGAGCGATCGATCGACTCACTGGATTTCCAGCAAACAAAGGGGGGGGCCTGCATGTGGAGGCCTGTGTTTGTCATATCTCGCAAAGGTGTGCCTGGATTCAAATGCCTCATTGACCGTGGTGGAGTGTGAGGGGCGCGATGCTTCCGGACCCACGCATTGTGTTCGTTTCATTAACCGGGCGTGCATTAGTCACCCGCGACAATGGACAGTTTGATCCCAATTGATTTAAACAAGGCAGCCATTTTTTATTGTGTTGGTTTTCATTGTAGAAGAATGGCCTTGTTTCGTGTCTGCGCAGAAAGGCGCCCAGCTTTCTTCGAACGAACTTCTATAATGATTAAGGCTTTGCTCAAGGAGGGCGGTTGTGGTGAATGTAACAACATTTAACTTAATATTTATAAAGATGCACATACACACTACTAACATATAACATATTTGTATCATTAGTCAATAATATTCATCATAATTAGCTCTCTGTTAGCTCGCTGAAGGTGCCTTGTACCATATCGGCCACGGGGATTCTTTTAGCCATACTTCACCGCGCTGAGCAAGTTGGAAGGGGGTGCCCTGGGACCAGTTCAGATATTACTCACTACTGATGTTAGGCATGGCCCAGGGATCGAACTCAGATATTACTCACTACTGATATTAGCCATGGCCCAGGGATCGAACTCAGATATTACTCACTACTGATATTAGCCATGGGCCAGCGATCGAACTCAGATATCACTCACTACTGATATTAGCAATGGGCCAGCGATCGAACTCAGATATCACTCACTACTGATATTAGCCATGGGCCAGCGATCGAACTCAGATATTACTCACTACTGATATTAGCCATGGGCCAGCGATCGAACTCAGATGTCACTCACTACTGATATTAGCAATGGGCCAGCGATCGAACTCAGATATCACTCACTACTGATATTAGCCATGGGCCAGAGATCGAACTCAGATGACTGGAGTCACAGTACAGCGAGATAACCACTTTGCCACTGCTCCAACCAATGCATTTATATAATTGCAAATGTATAAAATCTGTACAGCTTATTTATATATATGCTTATACAATACAGCACTGTATATATGTTTTATGTTATCGATATCCACTGGTACTGTCGTATCAGTATGCTGGGTGCATGCGTGCGCACGTAAATCTGTGAAACCCGACTGAAAATCTGTGAAAAATACCTGTACAGCTCATCGGATTCCTCCAGTAAAAATAGATTTTCTGATTCTGATAATATTGGTGTGGAGGAGGCTCCTTGAAGGATGCTGGACTGTTGGAGGCAGTTGCCCTCCAGTAACAATGGACTGCACTGCAGTCACATCAACGAGCGGAGTGCCGGGCGGCTAAAACGCAGCAAGTTGGCACAGTGGGGAGCACAGGTGGTGCATCTGCCAGTCATCTCAGCCAATCAACCCATTACACCCTGGGTTTGTCCCGTGACTTCCTGCCTGCAGCAAGCCTTACGCATTTCACGTGACGGCCTCAAAGTGCACATAGCCTGGCATAAGCACTGTGGTGATGTCACCGCCACTTAGTGGTGAATGGCAGCTCTTATTGTAAAGATTATCCAATTCCACGTTTTACTAATAGCCTATTGTGCTGAAATAGGATTATTATCTTGAGTTGTTATTTCCCTATAACTCTTTCCTTGGACTTCATTTTCTCAAAGGAGGTTGTTTTCCATCAATTACACAAACATTGTTATGGTCACAGCATGTGCACCTTTGCAGGAAACGGACAGTTATGATTGTGCACACAAAGCATATCCTTCCATTTCTGAAGAGGACAATCATACTATATTGCATTTCAATTGTCTGCAATTGAAAATTAGAGGTGAAATTCGAAAAATACTGTACATTCTGAATGCCCAACAATAACAACCATAATTCGCTACTAAGTGGCAGTGAAGTCACCACAGGTCTCGTGCACTTTTGAGGCCATGTAAAATGTTGAATTCCTGCTGATTCGAAGTCACGAGACAGACTGAGATATCTGGCAGATAAATTACCTCTCCTTCCCATTGTGCCAGCTGAATGTGCTTTAGCCGCCCGGTGTTAAGCTTCTTGTTGTGAGCATCGTTCCTCAACGCTTTATTGTTGCCGGAGGGTGGTTGCCTTCAATTGCCCAGTAGTGTTCTTCGTGATCTTGACACTATTAGTCATTTGCAAGTCCAATCAGCTCCATGTTATTCTTTACCGCATCAGCCCATCTCTTCTCTAGCTCGTGCCGTGCCCGTTTAGCCCCCTCTATCTGGCCAAATGTAAGATGCTTGGGCATGCGGTGGCTGGGTACGTGTGCTACTCACCCAGCCCATTCATCATACTTACGGACATGCATATGCACAAAATCAAAGCATGCCATTTTCCTGGCACAAATCCATAAGTGTATTATCAATACACCTGCAATTATCTAGTTATATATTTAATTACTTATACATGAATTTCGATTTAAAGTTTTCGTGACTGCAGGGATTCATCTTCTTGGTTCTTTCGGTAAAGTCACGTAGAAGGGAAGTAATAAAATAATAAAAATAAAACATAATAAAATAAAATAATTCTCACGACGTTTCGGCTACAACGCAAGCAGCCGTCTTCTTGCGTTGTAGCCGAAACGTCGTGAGAATTATTTTATTTTATTATGTTTTATTTTAATTATTTTATTACTTCCCTTCTACGTGACTTTACTTATACATGGTGAGCATACTATCAGAGCAACAAAAGGAATTTACATTCATGCATGGTTTAGACTTATTTTATTTGTAAGCCAACTCAACATGCCCTATACCATTTTATATACGCGTGGAAAATTCTAACTAGTCTTAGCTCCCCGATGTAACTCGCTGACGCACCCCAACTGGACATCAGCGCAAAAGAGCTCCATAGCTCATCGGATTCCTCCATTCTAATTAAAAAATTCTGTAAACATTCTGTTCATGGGTCGCACTGAAAGGAAGCTTGTGTTTCCTCCGAAACGTCGTGATTTTTATTGTATTTTTATTTTACTTTTATTAATTTTAATTTTTTTACCTACGTGACTTTACCGAAAAAACCTAAGAATATGAATCCTTCAAATCTAGAATGGTGTTAAGTTAGTTCCTGGCCCAAAACAATTTTTGCTGAAAATTCAAGAGTCCAATTTTTGATCGAGCGAACCTGCTGCTAAAGTGCGAGTTGGTGGAAGGGGGGCGGGCTAAAGGGGGGGGGGCGGGGGAAGGGGGGGGAGGGCTAGGACCGATCCAGATATCACAAGGCAACGTGTCTTTTCCCACTGCATATTCTCACATGCCTTTTACTCATTCCCCATTCATTCGATCCATTCATCATCATCATCATTTCCCGTCATCAATTTCGCTTTCACCGATGTCACGCATCATCACGGATTTGCCCCCCATTGCTTCCTCTCATCCGTTTCATTCACCCCACCGTACGAGTGTTGATTCTGTGTAGAGCGCCTTGCATAACGCGCTATATAAATTATTTTAAAATTAGATAGTATGTGTGTTGAACCGTGCTAATCGGAGGTGCAGGGGAAGAACAACAGCAATGACTGGAACTCAAACTCAGGTTTGCTTTTTAGTCATGGCATTACACACACACATATATATTATGTGTCTATTGTATGGCTACTTCTTCCCCCAATGCGTTCTTTCCTACGATTTGGCACAGTGTTTTGAGATGCAGGTTGCATTTATACGCTGTTCATATCCAGGTTTTATTGAAATTTTCTTGTATATGTAGCAAATGGGGTTTGGAGTGTTTGTAATGTTACCGTATAATTTACTCTGAAGATGAGGTCACATTTTAAAAATTGTATTGCCCCAAAGAAACACGGTCATACATTCCATTTCTCAGTCACTTATTACATTGGAATGTGGAATGACCACCACGCAGTTTCTCATTTGAGTAGGGAAACAATTTTAACTTCATTTAGCAAATTGGAATCAGATGTATAAGACTAGATTGGTGATGGGTAGTAATATTGATGGTGCTCTAATTTACCCTGGAGAGCCTCATTGAGTCTTAAAACTCTTTATTGTGAAAGTTCCTCTGAGTTGAGATGCGTTTGGACAATCGCATTGATGGTCATTTGGCTTCGCGTGGAAGAAAACCTGGAGGATAATAATAGGGTTTTTCCCCTTTTTTCTGGCAACAAAACTGAATCCTTTTTACAAGGCTTCATGTCTGCATTAACCACAATACTTGCAGTCAAAATGCAAACAAAAAACACACTATGACCACTGCAAGTATTGTGGTTAATGCAGACATGAATCCTTGTAAAAAGGTTTCAGTTTTGTTTGCCAAAAAAGGGGAAAAAACCCCCTATTATTATATTTTGGTACTGACAAAGGGGGTCTAATGATGAAACCGGAGGACTCGGAGAAAACCCACCACGCACACGAGCGGGAGTAATAATTAAGGCTCTGCATGGATATTTTCAAGAATCCATTGCTGTACCCCAATCTCCTGGACATTTCACAGCCCAAGCGAGCAATACCTGGTATTCCCAGGCAGTCTCCCGAGCAAGGCCTTAACCAGGTTGAAGCCTGCTCAGCTTCCACACCCTAATGAGATCGGACGCACTCAGGCTGATTGGGTCATAGGTGAAAGTGGGCCTCCAGTGTGGTCGAATGTTGCCCGAAGCCTCGTCGATTACAGCTCCTGCATTGACCGTGCTTGTGCTCACTGTTGCCACTGCTTTTGATGCTGCTGCGACTGCTGCTGTTACTGCTGCCGCCGCTGCTTCTGCTATTGCTGGTGCTGCTGCTTCTACTCCTGCCGCTACTGCTGCCACTGCTTCTGCTGCTGCGAATGCTGCTGTTACTGCTGCCGCTGCTTCTGATGCTGCTGCGACTGCTGCTGTCACTGCTGCCACTGCTTCTGCTGCTGCGAATGCTGCTGTTACTGCTGCCGCTGCTTCTGCTATTGCTGGTGCTGCCACTGCTGCCGCTTCTACTCCTGCCGCTACTGCTGCCACTGCTTCTGCTGCTGCTACTGCTGCTGCTGCCACTTGCACTGCTGTTGCTTTTGCTACTGCTGCCACCGCTGCCAATTCTGCTGCTGCCGCTGATGCCGCATCCACAGCGGCGCCGCGAGACCCTTGCCAGCCCAATCCGTGCGCGAACGGTCGCTGCGAGGGCCAACAAGGTGAAACCTTCCGGTGCGTCTGCCTGCCCGGCTTCACGGGCCGGCTGTGCGAAAGTCCCGTCGCCCCCCCAACCGCGCCACCCCCACCACCAGCGCAGCCACCGCCGCCGCCACCCACGTCTCCGCCACGCCGAGGTGAGCGAGCGAGGGAGCACGTGCGGTGCTGTTGTCTCTGGCCACTGCTTGTACGGTGCGAAAGAAATGCAACGTGCATGCGTGCAACGTGGCGATCGTTGTCGTGTGGAGGTGGACCTGTGGAGTGGAATTATATCCGCAAAAGTCCTAGTCATCTGGGTTTGTTTTGATGGTTCTGTTTTTTTATTTTATTTTAGGTCGCAGCCTCTGTCCGGTCAACGACAGCCTGCGGAGTTTTAATGAAATATTAATCCGTGGATTCCGTGGCGTCGTTCGCATCGTGCAGTCAACCAGAGCAGTGAAACATTTTGTCAAATGTTTAGTTTAGTGAATGTTGGTGTCAGGGGTGTGCAATCCCTCTCCCCGTCTCCCCCATTCGCCCTTCGGCAGCCAATTCGTAAATTCAATAAACAACCAATTACCACTGTTGGTCTTCCTCAGTGCACTGCTATCTCTCACTACGTGACTAAACAAATGCAAGTTTGCGTCCTCATTCAAGCTCTTTCATTTCATGTCGTCACGCTTTGAGCGCCGATGGGTGGCCGTCGTAGTCACTGTCACGCTCGGTGATTTACGTTTGCCCGTATTCACCGTTAAACTAAACTACAAACTAAACTTTTTATTTTACCAAGCAAGGCCCACTGAGCTATATACCTCTTTTCAGAAGCGACCAAACCACAAATGAAAGCCCAATTGAGTGGCTTATCACGTGGAAATTTATAGCAGCCAAATACTATAAACGCACGTTTCTAAATGTGAAGGTGAAAAGCGGAGGACCGGGAGAAAAATCCACGCGACCACGGGGAGAGAGACATGCAGACTCCAAATATACAGCAGGCGTCAGGGTCGGGATCAAACCCACGACCTCCTGTATACCAGGCGAGGCAGATAACATCTCACCACCGGGATGTCCAACAACAAAGGAAAAAACCCCTCTGTGTTGTTGATGGATATATTCACTGCTAGTTATGTGAACAGAAAGTCTAATACTGCTCCAACGCCAGAGCTGCGTTTACACCTGGGAATCTTCCTCCGAACAAAGGAGCGGTTTGATCGGAGCAGAAGAAAAATTTACCCGTAAAAACAAAGTTTTTCACTATAAATCCTTTATATGCGTGGCGGCTAGAGTCCTCTCGTCCTCTGGCTTGAGATGGCTGCCACCTATGGGTCAGATGATTGCCTGCCACAATTAAGCAATTGGTAATTAAATATAATTAATTTTTTCCTAAAAAGTGTAAAATTTTGGAGAAAAAAAATTCACGAAAATAAATTGTCACGCACAACGAGTCTGTGTGCAAAACGTCAGCTCGATTGGATCACGGGAAGTGGGTTAAAAAACGATTTGCACGGTCGTAAGCGCGCAAGAAAGCAAGCAAGTAAACTTAATATAAAGGATTTAAAAAAGAGCAGAGCTCGAAACGCCGATGTCAAACTCGTGTCGCACTGCACGCGGCAGGTTTGTTGAGGCCACTGAGCGAGTGGCGCAGAAGCTCCGCGGTGGAACTGATTCGCTTAAACAGAGAACGGCGTTGTGAACGCACGTTCGAAGCAGAATCTGTTGCCATTCGTAATTGACGTCTGTATACCTACGCGTTAACCGTAAGGAACCCAATGGGGATCGAGGCGAGCGTGGCCACTTGGCCAAGAAATGAGCGAAGTTTTGCTGCGTGAAACAAGCTTTAGCCTATATTCTTGGTTCTTTCGGTAAAGTCACGTGACTTTACCGAAAAAACCAAGAATATGAATCCCTGCAGTCGCGAAAGCTTTAAATCAAAATTGAAGCTTTAGCCTGTGATGACCTACAAGTTGCGCTTACTTCCTTTATATATGAGAAGTGGACACAGCTCTAATTTCGGTTATGCTAAACAGAACACCTCACTTTTGAATCAGTGTTCTCGTGTAAACGCAGCTCAGTTGTCCAGCAACAAATGGAGGAGAGGGCATCTCTGAAGTGAACAACTGTCCGAAATATTCTTTGGTTCTTTCGTAGATAAAAAAAAAGTACATAAAAAAACCACGACGTTTCGATCACAACACAAGCGATCGTCTTCAGGAGGAAAGAGGGGAAAGGTCAAGGAAGGCAACCGTTTTTAAAGGTTTCAAAAATGGGCGTGGCACAAGCGGAACGAAGTGGGCGGGGCATATGTGCCTGGGGTCAGAGAGCACCAAGGTGAAACGTGGTTTTTTATCTGTCTTAACTTTATTATTATTTCCATCTACGTGAATTTACCGAAAGAACCAAAGAAAATAAATTCCTTGCAGTCACGAAAGTTTTAAGTCAAAATTTAACTGTCCGAAATATTTCTGAAAGTATACCGAGGCCAACATCACCCTGCACAGTTGACAGACCTCACGAATCACATGCTAATTAGGGAGGATATGACGACAGTGGATGAGTGTAGTATAGTCGCAGTTTTCTAGTTTTAAAATCATAATGTCTGCTGCTTCGTGCACACAAAATGCAATATTCTTTTACAGTCTTAACGAGTAAGTTTCCGGGTTGATCTAACCTGCATCAGAGGTCGCAACCGGGTATCCGATACCCGTACCCTACCCAATACCCGGCTACCCGTACCCAGCCGGGTACGGGTACGGATAGACCGTGAGTCACTGGTGAGTAACTATTGAGTAACTGTTTGTCACTCATTTCCCAACGTCTTGTCTCTTCTCACAATTCAAGTTCCTAGAATCAACCCACCCGCGCCTGCAACATGGCTTCATCCCAGAGGTCGCAATCGGGTACCCGATACCCGTACCCTACCCGTACCCGGCCGGGTATGGGTAGAGTACGGGTACGGCCGGGTACGGGTGCGGGTACCTGTTTGCGACCCTGGTGCGGCCGGGTACGGGTAAGGAATCAAAACCCGTTTGCGACCTCTGACCTGCGTGTATGGACACTGCAGTGAATGGACAGTTATCGCGAAGCAAGTCATGTGCTCAGGAATAGTGCCCAGGCACTCCTTTAAAATGATCTGTCAACGGCTCGACGGAGCTGTGCCACGTAAGCACATTAAATTGCTGTCGTATTGATAGTAGTAGTAATGATAACCATCAATAATAACGTTCTTTTTTGTTACACAGCAAATCCTTGCAGAGACTTAAAGTCTTTTACACTATGAGACCTCCTTTACCAGTGGCAAAATATAGTAATAGGTTTTTACCCTTTCAACTGGTACAAAAAGGAGGTCTCATAGTGTAAATGTTTACCCCGAGCTCTCAATACTCTGATAGTGCGCTATCTTTGAGGTGTACGCCTTTTGGCGTCATCTGGTCCAACACCAATGGAGACTAGGCTCTAAGAAAAGCTGTCTCGGGTGTGGACCAATCAACTTCAAGGACAGTGCATATCATTATCATCATCAGAGTTGTTTCTTTTTGTTTGCATTTTGACTGATTGTATTGTAGTTATTGCAAACATGATGCCTTGTATAAAGGTGTCAGTTTTTGTACCAGTTGAAAGGGTAAAAACCTATTACTACTTAAAGTCTTGTTTTCAGGAGCAAGGGTCCTGCCAATGTTTAACCAAATCCACTCTTGAGTGTTTGGCACGGGGGGGGGGGGGGGGTGCAAAACTAGAGAAGATGCACACAAATATGGTGGGTTGACGCTCGAAAGCTCCACACATATAGATTCAACAATCTGTTGCTGCACTGTCGTCCGCTGGCCACCTCGCAGCAGCTGATGTCTGTAATCTCCCATGCTCACCGGGTTCAGCCCTGCAGAGCTGTAGGGATCTGTCGAGGTCGGGTGGATTGGGGGTTGATTGGTTTGTAGGCCATGGGCGTGGTGTTCCCTCTCTACTCGCTAGGGATACGTTGCGGAGATGTCAGGGATAATGATATCGGCCTACGAAAACCTAGCTTTTTAATAAATGACCTTAAATAAATACATAAATCAGCTATTTGATACAGGAAAATTATCATGACACAAACTCAAATTGGTTATAATAAACATAAAGTAAAGAATACATGTTAAGTTATTAAATCATAGTTCATTAATTAATTTGCCACGAAATTATGAGGTTGTGCGGTAGCATTATTCCGTTATCTCATCACTTTATCTCTCATCACTTTAACTCATCACTTTCTTTCTCTCTTTCTCGATGCAGTCGTGTAGACTTCCAGATGCAATTCGCGTATAGCTTTTTGTGTTGAGTTCGTTGTCCTCCCCCGCACCTCCGATTAGCACGGTTGGCTACGTACGGTGCTAAAGAAGTTCAACATGCATACATAGCCAAAATTGCGAATAGCAAGTTCGCGAATAACAAGGGAATACCGTACTGATAATATACAAACTCACCAGTCGTCGAGTGGAACATTATAGGTGATAAAAGAAAATAAGTAAACGTGTTATTTTCTGGAGCTCTACATTTATTAACCGCATTTTAGTTTTGTCTGTCAGCTTATTGACCCCCTGGACTCGTATTTGCCAGGAGCGTTCGTTACAGCAATAAAGCTTTGGGCCGGAACGCTTCAAAGGCAATTTTTAAGAAACATTTTCACTCAAAAGGATCTTGCTTGAGACATTTGGCATGCATGTGGAAGGAATTCAAGAGCACCTGGAGAAAGCCCATAGGGTAGCAACTCACTAATCCGCAGAAGGCCAGTAACCAGAGGTCGCAAACGGGTTTTGATTCCTTACCCGTACCCGGCCGCACCAGGGTCGCAAACGGGTACCCGGCCGGGTAGGGGTAGCCGGGTATCGAGTAGGGTATGGGTATCGGGTACCCGGTTGCGACCTCTGCCAGTAGCTCAGCAACTGACTTTGCTCTCCTGCCTTCTACAGGCCACCTCATAGCTCCACAGGCAGTGCAATAGGGAACAGCAGCGTACGGTGCAGGAAGCTCAGAGAAGCCCTTAAATTAAACGGGAAACTGCGCCCACTCCGGACTTAATCCCATCAGTATTACCGCATTCTCCGTATTATAAGAAACGCTCGTTTTCCTCCGTATTTTAAAGCAAAAGTCGGGGTTTTCGTCTTATATGTGTGTGTGTGCGTGTGCACGCGTGACCAGATTTTAATAACGTTATTGACAAGATTGGCGGTCGTTTTACTTTCCGGAGCATCTTCTAATCCGGATAATACGGTAACCGCAGTTGACGCATGGTGATGTTGGCTCGGTCGAACAACAACAACAACCACAACAAACAACAAAACTAGGACGATAAACCCAGCCGCAGTCATGACAAGCCCCCATCAGCCCGCATGTGCTGTAACGTTGCACCATGCGGCTCAGGGGATCCTGACGATCTTCTCGAGGAGACGTGGTCCGAAGCGGACCTCGCTCCCGAAGGTGGTGGCATCGCAGACGCCAACGAGTACGTGTTCACAGGTACTTGCCCTCGCGCGCCGCCACGGGACAGCTACACGCGGACGTGGAGATTATACCAAGCGTCCTGGTTTGACCGGAACACTCGCCGGTTACAGAAAGGCTGTCCCGATGTCACATCGTGCTTTTTATTTTTTATTTTTGTCACCGGTTTGGAAAATATTGGCTTCATGCCGCGCGATTCGTGACAGGCGCAAGAGGCGGCGGGTGCTGCTACCTGAGCAGTTGGCGGGGTTTCGCCAGAGGATTAGTCAGGGGCCTAATGAGCAGTAGGGTGGGGACGATGTCATAAGCGGCGAGAAGGACGAGGCCACTCACTGTGGGAGCAGGGCTCGTGATAGAGCGGCTGTGGCTTTGTAAAAAGTTGGTGAGGCCGCAGGACGGATGGGCTGCCAGCTCAAAACCATGTGTCCTGGTTGAGCCTCCCAGAAATTCGGTAGCCTCACAATCGGCCCCCTTTGCCGCACCTCACGATCAGCGATCAGGAGGAGTACTTTGCGATGCGATGCGATTACCATCAGGAATGAAAGAGTGCATTTCAATGTGACTGCGTCTCAGGTCACTGCTGAATTGAAATGTGCTTTGTCACGTGTTCATATAGTCCTTTCAGATTTTTATTATTATTAATGATAATGTTATTTACCAAGGAAAGCTTCACTGAGGCGTCAAGCATTTCTAAAGAGGGACCTGCATAGCATATTTTAACCAATTCCTTTAAGACATGACAACAATTTGTGGCACAACAGTATATTTATTTGACAAGTGCGATATTTGCAGGACAGAGATTTTCGCGGCAATTCTGCAACCCATGTTCGCTGCCATTTGCCCTCTGCGGAAACATCATAGCGTGGGAGTAGAAACGGTTCCGAAAAGTGCCGGTTTACGCATTTGGTCGCGTTCCGGCACATTCCGACTCTCGTTCCGCGACTCTTCCGTTACGCGGAGGAAATCGAGTCAGCGCGGCCTAATGTCGACCTGAGCGCTCGTGCGGGTACAGCCGTTGTCCGACCGTGGGCCTTGCCTGTGCTCGCGCAGACGATCTCTACGACCAGCTGGGCAGCGTCGTCCCCAACTCCGGCGCAGAGGTCGGCGAGGGGCGCGGCTCGCTGGCCGAGGGGCCGCTGGCGGCCGTCGTGCTCGGATCGCTGGGCGTCGCTGCCCTCCTGGGCGTCATCCTGGCGTTCCGGCTCGGCGGACGGACCCGACCGGCCAGCGGCGTCGTCCCGCCGGCGGATCCCGACCGCCCGGCCGCTAGCCGCCACTGCCGCCGGGCTCCGGTCACCCAGGCTACCCCGGCCACCTCGGTCACCCGGAGCCGCACGGGAGGCTCACGGCCGCGTTCCGCCGCTCCTGGCAAAGGGTACTGCGCCGAAACGGTACGTGGCTGTATGTGCGCACTTGAGACTGTCCCTCCAGTGCAGCGGTTCTCAGCCCGTGGGTCGTGTCTCTCGCCCCCCCGTACCAGGAAGGGCAGGTTTCGGCATGGATACCGTGCAGGAAACTTTTTTAAATGCGCGCGGGGAACTTCAGCGGCACGATTGCAGCGACAAAGGACACTGGTAGTACGACGTGACACTAAAATTTTATATATCTTTTGTATTTTACCAGGTTACGGCCCACTGAGCTATGTAGAACTTTTTTCAGAAGCGACCTGGCCACAAATGATAGCTCAACGAAATGTGCAGCAGTCAAATACTCCAAACAGAATTGTTGCTACCCAGGTCTCTATTGCAAAACAGACGTTTTGTCTCAAAAAGCAAACACTTTATTACGAAGTTCATGATGATGATAACATTTTAAGAGTGCTTAATAAATAATACAATTAATAATCATCTCTTATATGCATGGATTTTTCTTCAGATTTCCTCCTAAACGTCAAACACAAATAATTGCATCTGCCAAACATCCCACTCAAGAATCCCTCCTGGAAAGGGAAAAAAAAGAACAATGTTGACACTCAGTAAACACAAAAAAAACACGTCATTAGTTTTGGCCAAACATCCCCATGCTGAAAAAATCACCTGCAAATCGCTTGATTGCAATCGCACACAGCAGCAGCAGCAGCATCACGTGCTACTGTGACACGACGGCAAAGGCCCCCTGGAAAATCATCTCGGGACTCAGTGAGGCTTTCCTGGGTAAACAAGTGTCAGGAATAATGAAAGTGAGGCTTTCCTGGACACGTAATGGGTAACATTTTTATTGTTGTGCATCTTGGCCTCGAATTAACACGCACATTTTATAATACTAAATAAATTAACAGGTCATATGCTTCCTTCGCATATCTGTCCCGGTCACATTATAATCAAAGTGTGTCTTACACGTAGTAAATTATGATTATTTCGCTTTTAAATGCTAGTAATGTCATAATGAAACAATGTAATTCGTGATACTGCGTTGGCAGTGGTGCACAAGCAACAATGACAAAAATAACTGAACACATTCCTCAATAACGCTGTATGCTTCATATCAAATCGGTGATGTTGTGGGTCGTGACCCTTCTTAAAAGAAAAAAGAAAGATGTTGGCTTCTTTTTTATTGCTATAAAGAAGGGGGACATTTCCCGAAACATTACCTGTTATATATTCCTTTAAGGCCTCGGCGTTATTGACGAATGCGTTAGGTTCCAAGTAATTCAGAGCAATGTCCCTGCTCAAAGCAGTATTGAGGCTGCATATTCCACATTTTTGTGTTCATCGAAAATTCCAATAATACAATGACCACGGTTGACCTTTCAGAAAGTTGTACTAATTTTAATGAACATAGAGGGAGGATGGGCTGAGTTGACCCCTAACTGGAATTTCAACTCTTCTGATTGTGGGTCAAAAGCACCCTAACTGCAGCGCCACTCAGAGAACGTGTGTTATAGTGCCGTGTTCATCCATAAAAAAAAAACGAATTGAGTCGAATTACTTTTTTAAACTGGTAGTTCTGTATAAGAATGTTTGGCCAGTCCAGCTTTGACGAGTGTATTACAATTGGGAGGAAACTGTCACATTGAATCTGGAGAAAATCGATCCACATCAAGGGATAGCATTTAATGTTGTAAAAAAAAAACCGTTGACCGAATGCTCCTTTGAGTGGCGTCTAATGATAAATACATGCCTTTGATCCACAGGCACAACTGTGCATCCAATACGGTTGATTGTCCAACCGCTAGCACAAGAAAAGCCCGTGAACACACAGAACAAGCCAGCTGTGGATGCCATAACGAAGCCAACTTCCACATCAATGGATAAGCCAGCCATGGACAATGTAAACCAACCCACAACATCCACCATGAACAAACCAGACGTAAACAATTTAAACCAACCCACAGCGCCCACAATGGATCAACTGACCATGAGCAGTCTTAAACAACCCATGGATAAACCACCCATGGACACAGCAAACAAGGCAAACACCGCGAATATGGACAAGACAGCCATGAACTCAGTAAAAATTCCAACAGCTGTAACGCAGGATACACCTACCTGTTACTGAGTCATTTAAAAATACAACAACCCCAGCGATGGATAAATCAGCCATGGACTCGGATATAAACCCAACGACCACAACAATGAGCAAGCCAGTTACGGATTCGGTGAAAAAAAAGCGAAGGTCAGTTAAGAAGAATAAACCAGTCACGGACACAGTGACGGAGCCGCCAGCAGACAAGCCGGATACTGAGCCGGTGAGGCAGATACAGAGCACACCAACTGAGCCACTGCCCTTGGACACACAGGATTCAACAGGCACACGGGAAGCCCCGACGACAGACTTCCAGAACCCAGAGAACCCCGAGGACGAGGAGGGCACGCCATCAAGCGACCCGCGCAAGCCGAAGCGGCCACGCAAGAAGAAAAAGGCGAGCGAGCGCTGGTCAAAGCTCGCGAGCCCGGCCGTAGACGGCCACGACCCGCTGCCCCCTCTGACGATGCCGCGGCTGCAGCGAGAAGCGACGTTCATGCCCCCGCTCGCTCCCACCGTGGCCCACGAGCTGCAACTCTTCTCGGCCGATTTCCGGCGGCCGGTGGCCCGCCTGCCGACGCCGTACGAGGGCCGGGGCCCAGGGTTCCTGCCGCTGGAGACGCTGATGGAGAGCCGGGAGGAGCTTTCGGTCCCGTCCACGCCGCCCGCCGGCGTTCGAAGGCCGACGACGCCGATGTTGATGTCGGAGGAGAACAGACGGCCGCCGCAGCTGCCACCGCCGCCGCCGCCACCGCCGCCACCGCCGCCACCGCCGCCGCCACCGCCGCCACCGCCACCGCCGCCACCGCCACCACCGCCGCCGCCTCCTCCTCCACCTGTGATGCCCCTCCAGGCCCACAGTGGGCCGACCATGCCGGTCAAACCGGCGGGTGTCGCCCACCGTCAGGGCCACGTTCCTGCTCGTCTCTCTCCCGTCCAAAACCCTCGCTGGATGATCTGACTCCGTGCTCCGCGAGTCGCGCGAGATGTGGGGCCCGAGACACGCGCTGTTGGGCCCTTCTGCCAGTCATTTTTGGTGACCCTACACAATCTCTTTGCTGAACATTAGCTTCAATGGGGAAGTGGAAAACTGGGATTCTTTTTAGCCGATTCATGTTACAAGATGCGTTTCTGCCAGTGTCTGGGTGGTTCAAGAGCCGAACACTGAGTCAGCACTGCTGAGAAAAATGGGCTTGATTCTGAGCAGCCCTTCTTAAGTGTAGTTCGTTGATATATGTCGCAGCCTGGTTACCAACGACTGCACACACACACATAAAATCTAATCGTATAAATCGTTCCTTTTTTTTTACTTCATTTCTTATTCCAGTTCTGAAAATGAAAGCACGTGTAGTTTGACGTGCGATGAACACTCTCTGCAGGAGCATATAGCAGGTATGTTCCTTGTGTGGTATAAGACACCGTCTTGTATGATGTCTTCATCAAGGGCCGTTCTTTAACCACAGTAAGATCCATATGAACCCCAAGACATCCGTCAATAACAATGTGGCCTTATAATGAATATATAAAAGGTGACGTTTCGGGCAATGACCGTTATTCATAGCACATAGATAGGGTGGCCAGAGAGACAGATGGGACAATAGAGGTGCATTGGGGCACCATAATCGACTGTATTGGTTCTTGAATGGAATCGTGACCCCAAATCGTGATAATTCATGACATCACAGATGGTTATTCTCAGGTTTTTTCGGTAAAGTCACGTAGGTAAAACATTAAAAAAATTAAAATTAATTAAAGTAAAATAAAATAATATTTTATTTTACTTTTATACATTTTTATTTTACTTTTATTAATTTTTAATAAAAGTAAAATAAAATAATAGTTTATTTTACTTTTATTAATTTTTATTTTTTACCTACGTGACTTTACCGAAAAAACCTAAGAATATGAATCCTTGCAGTCACGAAAGCTTCAAATCTAGAATCACAGATGGTGGCAGAGGGGCGAGGGTGGGGGAGGGGTGAATGATCTCACCCCTCCCCCCGACAACCCCCTGAGGTTGCCAACTGTCCGGGTTTAACCCGGACAGCCTGGGACTTAGCAATTGATTTCGACAGAGATCTGCCACCGATGTTGCATTGAAACCCTATTAACGGTATACTGGACCGCACAGATCGCGGTCCCAATTCTGTTCACGCATTGATTCTCTTTGCTGTATAATTGAGCACTGTGAGGATTGTGGCACACTAGCGCTTCGAGTGACTGCGATGGATCAATTAGGGTTGTAGGTATGCACGTTGAACTTCTTTCGCACCGTACGTAGCCCCAACCGCGCTAATCGGAGGTGCGGGGTTGAATAATGAACAAATGTAAATTGAGAAAGTATCAATAAAGTTTACAGGGTTTTTTTTTAATGTGAAATTAAATCTCTTAGATCTGGAAGTGGAAATGTAAACTGTGAACTGGCACAAACGTGTAAGCACTCGCACTTTAGTCTTTTATCTGAACACTGTTACGGGTTCATAATTCACTTTTTTAGGGTCTGATTTCGAAAGTAAAGCGTGTGTTACAGTCCCTCCTCCAGCAATAATGATCGTTTTAACTTGAGCAGACGTGGCAAATTATTTCTGCTGCAGCAGACCGCTGTGTTGGAGATAAATCCGCAACATTTAACAATTTCAAATTGCCTGACGGTGCTGCTGGTTGCAACTACCCGCAGAGACATCGTACGAACCCAATTTGATAAATGTGTGTGGAGCGCTCTCCCAACACACCGGTGGTGCTGAATCAGTGATAGATTGGGACGCGTTTGTTCACGTGACAATTTTATCAATCGGTTGTGTCAGGTGGAGGAGGGTGTACTACACACATTTTACTTAGGCGTTCTGACCCCAAAAAATATATTACGAATCATAATTGTCTTGAAAGCCTACGTGTTCAATTTACCGTCACGGGTTTTCCTTGTCTCATTTTCTGTTGGATTTGTAATTGTTAAGCCTAAAAGAAAAACAAAACACTGGCATCGCTTCGAAAAGTTTGAGTTTATGTTGATTTGTGACGAGGATCATCTCGTTTCGCCAGTTGCCCGGCTATTTTACACGGGAGAATATCGGTGCATGAGCATTGCAGCAGCAGCAATACAATTCCAAAGAAAAAAAGCATCAACATTGCAGAGAGCAAGTACAGGATCCTTAAGTAAAAAATATTCAAAAAATACATTAGCAGGTAAGGCCCACTGAGCTATGTAGCTCTTTTTCAGAAGCGACCTGGCCACAAATGATAGCCCAATTAAGTGGCTTATCACGTGGAAAAATTAGAGAAGCATGTTTCTAAATGTGGAGGGAGAAACGAGAGGCCACAGAGAAAAATCCACGTGACCACGTAGAGAGAGACACGCAAACTCCAAATATACAGGCGTAAGGGTCGGGATTGAACCCACGACCTCCTGCATACCAGGATGACGGAGTTAACACCTCGCCACCACGGCACCCCAAGCTTGTCTTCAGGAATATACGATGTACTCCAGTGCCAATAAAGAAATAAAAATGTGATCACACACTCACCTACCATATGATAAAATGCAACCCTCCCACCCCCCTAACTTTGAACTTTAAATACAGGCGGAGGAAAGTATGACCACGATTAAACCCTGGAACCAGGGCAAACACAGTATGTTTGGTTGTGCCATGCTACTTGGATGTACAAATAATACAATTACTGTATATATATCATTATTATATTAAGACTACAAATATCGTTTAACCTCACTTAATAGATGTTCTGCTCTTGTAATATTTATCATGGCTGCTTCATGTAGTCAAACATATAGTTATACATTAATTTCATTATGCATGATTATTATCCTATAATATTTGCATTGCCATGTAAATGGAAACTATTAATGGTGTGCTGGTTTGCTGTATAAATTCCTGTTTTGTTATCAAATGTGTACATTTCTGAATTGAGACTTTTTGGGGGAAATTACTATATTTTTTTATACACGCAATCTTTGTGTGGCCATACACTCATCCGTTCATGACACGTGGAGACCATATATACAAACCTATACAGACAAAGATCCCCTGTAAAGCCTTTGAACAGACTGCTGGGGCAATTGCTACTTCTAGATTTGAAGCTTTCGTGACTGCAAGGATTCATATTCTTAGGTTTTTTCGGTACGTGACTTTACCGAAAAAACCTAAGAATACAATTGCTTTTCGATTTAAAGCTTTCGTGACTGCAGGGATTCATCTTCTTGGTTCTTTCGGTAAAGTCACGTAGAAGGGAAATAATAAAATAATACCGAAAGAACCAAGAAGATGAATACAATTGCTAATTAGTGAGCACCTATAAATGCCGGGCACAGCACACGAGGAAGAAGTGGGTGTCCAATAACTACAACCGATCACCTTTGTCTCCCCAGCGCCGATGTATACACACCACACGAGGTGTTTGTTTAAGGCTGAGTCGATCCAGGCGAGGCCCAGCACCGGTTTCAGATATTCGTAACCGTCATTGAGTGGGGATCGAACTTCGGGTCGAATGTTCGTAATGAATAGCACGAACTGCTGGTCCACCACTCAGCACAAGTCCGTGTAACACACTGCTTCTTGCAATTGATGGCAACTGCCTTCCCCATTCAAATCTCAGACATTTTGCTGATTTAGTATCATATAAGCTAGGCGCAGGAGAGTCCATCACATACATTATGGCTTTATATCTGCATATATATATATAACTTAAATCTGCGTGCCTTGCAAATATAATAAATAAAACGTCAGCCACTCGACCTGTTCCAGTGCCTCGTTCTTTTATGTATTACTCTTTAAGTATTTATGCTGAGCAGT